GGGTTTCCAAGAAGCAGCTGGTAGATTCGAACTACTGACCTTTTGGTTAGCAGCTGAGCACTTAACCATTGCACCTGCACCACCAGGGCTCCTTTAGCAAAACAGCTCAGGCTAATTGCAGGCCTGTTGGATTTAACAGCATGGTAACACACAAACATTTGGAGACTGCTTTTCTTTGTCCTACCTTAAATCTTTTCGAAGTTAAACCTTTTTTCCTCCACTCTTCCTGATGTGTTATGTTTTCCCTCATTTGGTTACCATCCTCTGTGTCCAGAATTGGGCAGTGTGCTCTAGCCACAGCCAGACCAGCAAAGACTATGGTGGAGTCCTGGCTTTACATTGGAGCCCTGCCCTAGAGAGGCAGAGGTTACCTTAGCTTTTCTTCAGCAGATCTTTTATAATGTGGTTCCTTATTGATGTTGCAGTCTGCTTAAACTGCCTTGTCTTCTTCACCTGATTTACTGAAAAGTTGGGCTTCTCCCTTTTCATCCCCATGTATTTGTTATTTTGAACTTTGAAGCAAGACTTTGGTCTTTTTTCCTGTTGCTGTTTCATCTTCTTGATTTTGGTCATCATTTCATTCAGTGCATAGTTTTCTTAATCTTAACTCTGTCAACCAAAGTATTAGCTATGCGTCTCAGCTTTGTATTAAGTATGAACATGATGAGCATACCTCTGTGTCTTCATTCAGATCATTAACTCTTCAATAAAGAAAAGAATCAGCTAAGAATAGATCTGTGGGGCAGTGTCAGGGGCTCCCTCTGGATCGACATCAGTCTAATAATCAGATGTATTTGGATAAGGTAGAGAATCCATGGTATTCTGATCCACACTTCTTACACTTGTCCATGAGAGACTATTTCAAGTGCTGTGCTAAAATCAGAAGTATCACGTCCACGGGATTCCTTTTATCTACCAGCCCAGTATTGACATCAGGCAGGGGCATGGGGTTGGGCCTTCTTTCTCTTAGTGAACTTCTAGCTGCTAATGATCATATTCTTTAAGGGTTCCCAAATCTGATTTAGAATGTTTCCGTAAGATTTTTTTATATCTGTCCAAAATCATTTCTTTAAGAATAATTATACTATGCTTGTGTTGTTCAGCCTAAACTGAAGTCCCCCTTCTTTTGATAGACAAGCCAAATATAATTTTTGCTAAAATGATGCTGTTTAGTTGGATTTTATTTTACTTTGATTTGATTTAAAATAAGTAAGGGGCAACATGGTATTGCCATTTAAAAAAAAACAAAAACAGTTGCAGTTGAGTCGATTCCAACTCATAGCAACCCTATGTAACAGAGTAGAACTGCCCCCATAGGATTTCCAAGGAGCAGCTGGTGGATTCAAACTGCCAACCTTGTGGTTTGCAGCTGAACTCTTAACCACTGCACCACTAACAAAAAAACAAACCGAACCCATTGCCGTCGAGTCAATTCCAATTCATAGCGACTCTACAGGACAGAGTAGAACTGCCCCATAGAGTTTCCAAGGAATGGCTGGTAGATTTGAATTGCCGACCTTTAGTTAGCAGCCGTAGCTCTTAACCACTATGCCACCAGGGTTTCTACTGCACCACCAGGGCTCCGTTATTGCCATTAGAGCTAAGTAAATTATAAACAGAGAGTTAGTAGAATATGGGGGCCAGAGAACAAGTCCAGGTGAGATCTCTCTGTGACTGTATATATATCCTACCTCCTGGACATCTCTACCTGAGTTTTTCTTAGTTTCCTGAACTTGGGCTCTTCACTCCACCAAACCTGACCCTTTTCCAGTATTTTTTTCTTTGTCAATAATACAACATCTACCCAGCTACTTTAGTTAGAAATATGGATGTTATCTTTGACAATAGCTTCTCCCAAACCCTACATCTAACTAGTTACCAAATTCACTCCTTGGGAGGCAGAATAGTTTAGTGTAAAACACTTACACAGACCTGGGTTTCAGTGCCAAACTGTGTTGTTTTGCCATATTATTAAACTTCACAGAGCCTACAGCCATAAAATGAGGATAATATTACCCATCTTACAGAGTTGTAGGAAGAGGAAATAATAAAAGTAAAGTGCCTAGCTCAGTAGAGCACCTAGTCACCCTTAACTGTCTTCTTGCTTCCAGTATTGCCTCAGTCTGACTCTGTGCCTCACAGAGTAATCGTTATAAATCTGACCATCCCTCTCTACTTAAAGGTCTTTGGTAGCTCCCTCTTGTTTTTAGGATTAAATTTAAACTTGCTCATGCAAGACCTGTCATGATCTGGCCCCTGCCTACTTTCCCAGCTTCGTCTGCTCTCACTTCTCCACATGTGCTTAATGCTGTAGCCATAGCGCACTCTTGGAAATGGGCCATAGTCTGTGCCATCCCTCTGCCTAAAGTGCCCTTCTCCCCTTTCCTCAAATGGCATAGTCCCAAATGCCACAGTTTCCCTTCTCTTCCATCACACACACACACACACACAAAGTTGCTCCTGCAATGCTTTTCCTCCCCACCCTCCCTACTGTAAGCTGCTCAGTGCCCGTTTGTGACATGTTCTGATTATGAGATGCACAGAGTGAAATGCAAAGAAGCCCTATTTCACATTTTTCAAGAATCAAAATGCAAACATTTAAATAGCACCTAGTGAAGTACAGCGGCACAGTGGTTAAGAGCTTGACTGCTGACCAAAATGTCGGCAGTTTGAATCCACCAGCCACTCCTTGGAAACCCTATGGGGCAGTTCTGCTCTGTCCTACAGGGTCACTATGAGCTGGAATCACCTTGACCGCAGTGGGTTTTTTGTTTTTTTTTAAGTGAAGTAAGAGTTGAGATCAGGTGTTAATTGGGAATATGAGCCAGGTTGTGACATAACAGCCTTGATAAGAAGTGCTAATCATAAAGTCTGCCCCTTGACCTATACAGGAAGGACACCAAGCATGTTGTAATGATAGGTGGCACTTGAGCTATGTGCCATGTATGCCTGGAATCATTCGTGAAGACACGGACTCTGAGGAGGCACGTTCATTAGCAAAGAAGGAAAGCAAGGCCAGGCATCTGACCACCTGGGAAAGCAGGAGAGACTTTTCTCTCCAGTGTGGTCTGCATAGCAGTGTAAAGGGGCCATGACTTCAAAAGGCTCTGTGTCCTTCACTAAGGGCTCAGAAAGAAATTCATAAGAAGACAAATCCCTCTTTTGAGCAGATGAGTCTCACTAGAACTATCACATTTTCTCCCCCCTTTTTGTTAGCTTTATGCTAAAAACGTAATGCTAACTAGCTGTTTAGCAACATTATTTATGTATTTGTGTGTACATACAAATAAGGTGTCCTCTACTGATTTTAACTGCTCATTTATTCAGCACATACTTTTGAGTACCTACTATGTGCAGACCCTGTTCTAGATTCTGAGGATACAGTGGTGAGCAAAATAAACCGTCCCTGTGTTCCTTGCCCTCATTTGTCTGCGTTCTAATTGGGAAGAGACAGTAAACAAACATATGATGTATTGTCATCTGGAATTAAATACTGTGAAGAAAAATAAAGCGGCAAAAGGGGTGTGATACCGAACCCATTGTTGTTGAGTCGATTCCAACTCATAGCAACCCTATAGGACAGAGTAGAACTGCCGCATAGGGTTTCCAAGGAGCTGCTGGTGGATTCAAACTGCTGGCCTTTTGGTTAACAGCCGAGCTTTTAACCGCTGAGCCACCAGGGCTCCGTAAGTGTGATGGAAGGTGCTAATTTAGATAGGGTGGTCAGGACAGGCTTACTAAGGAGGAAATGTTTGAGGAAAGATTAGAATAGAGTGGAAGGAAGCCACGCAAACATCACCACTGCTACCCCAGTTGCTTTTAGTCTATTGGGCTTGATGGTGATGTCATTACCTTATATTGAGAAATGTTATTCAAGACGTTCCTACGAGTGTCACATCCACTTTCAGGTCATCATTGTAACAGCTCGAGAGAAATTCCTTTCAAATTGTAGTGTCAGATAGTCAAATCCCTGTGCAACTGATTGTTTTTATCCCACAGATGCTGGAAATTACCTGACACGATTTCCCTTTTCACATTAGCTGCTAGAAAACTCAGATAAATTTGTGGCCCATTCATGTCGTGAAGGTCATTATGGTATGCATTATTTATTTACCTTATTTTGAGCTATGGTCACCTTCAGCCTTTTCTTTAACTCTACTGTTAGTTATGCTATCTTGTAATATTTTATGTATCTGTGTAAGCTAGAGGAGCGCTGGTCATGCAGTGCTTAAAGCACTCAGCTCCTAACCACAAAGTCAGCGGTTCGAATTACTTACGGTATTACTTATAGGCCAAGGATCCCTGGTGGTGCAGCAGTTAAGTGCTCAGCTGCTACTGAAGGATTGGTGGTTCAAAACTGCCAGCCGCTCAGCAGGAGAAAGATGTAGCTATCTGCTTCCATAAAGATTACAGCCTTGGAAACCGTGTGGGGCAGTTATACTCTGTCCTATAGGTTTGCTATGCGTTAGAATCAACTCAACAGCAATGGACTATACATAAACCAGTGGTTCTCAACTGAGGGTGATTGTTGTCCCCCAGGGAGCATTAGGCAACATCTGGTTGTCACAGCTGGGGAGTGCTACTGACAATCCTGCATTGCACAGAATAGCCACCCACTACGTAGAATTATCTGACCCAAAATGACAACAGTGCTGAGGTTAAGAAGCCCTCCTATAGACTGAACATTCCAGGGCTATAGAAGAATTTTGCTACATAATGATGACTGTTTTTCCATATAGCTTATTCTAGCATTCAGTGTATATTCTGAGTGGAAAGGTTGATTGCCCTTCCATTAAATCTATCATCAGTCAAATATTCCTGAAAGCAAGTTTTTTTGTTTTCCCTTCAGAAATCTTGTTATTATCCCCACTAAGTCACAACTTCAGATCAACAAAATTGGAAGGAAGAGTGCTTTCCAGTCAAGTTCCAGAATCTTGAATGTTTGACCAAGCATCGTAGTAAAATGGGACTGTTCTTTCCATCCTCCTTTCTCCTTGCAGGCTTTCATAGAGACCATGTATAGCAGCAAAGTCCCTGTGGAGGAAGCCTTTCTTTATGCCAAGGTGAGTTAGGCAGTTGGGAAGGTCTTGTTGGAGGGGACTATCAAATAATTTCATTGATCTACAGATGGCATCTAGTTGACTTTCATGGAAGTGGCCAGGATGTCAGTGGAAAGGACTTGGTTCGTAAATGTTACTGGTAATTTATTAGATGAGTCTATACATGCACTGTTAAATTTAAATGAAGAAATTTGCAAAGTAGAACAGATGAAGAAGGAAAGACTTACACAAATGTGAGATGAGAAGAATAATACTGTTCAGGGGAATATAAAGGAAGAGGGTCTGAGGTAGAGCCAGAAGATAGTGGCACATACTTACCAGTCTCCGGCTCCATCCTAGGATGTAGTGAAAATAGTGGAATTTACCATTTATCGAGCGTCCTTTTTCACTTACCCAGAGCATTTAGGCCGAAAGTTGTTTGAAAGGTTGAAATCAGTCATGTAGAGTTGTTGTTGAAAGTGCAAGTTGTATCCATCCCCATGTTTATCTAAACAAGAATAAACAAACAGTATCCTTACGTGGTTGTATCTCTGTACTCAGTCCTGATCACAGGTTTCATTGTCCTCTTCTGATTCATAAGAGTCATAGGAAGTTTAGAGAGAACTCAGAAGAAGAGAAGAGGCTTAGTAATCGGGTTGAATATTAAGACTGGTGAGAGAAAAAGAATGGGGTATACTTAGCGTGGATTGTAACGTGGGCAAGAATAAAAGAAATGGATTGAAATTGCAGCATAAAAAGTTTGGGTATGATGAATAGTTAGTAGTGGTGACTTAAGATAAGTACTGGCATGGAGGTAGGGCTGTTGAAGAGAGCCTGGGCTGGAGCAGCCCTACATAAATCCTTTCTGTTGTCATATCTTGCTGTTGTTTTTTACAGTTTGAATTTGAATGCCGAGCTCGTGGCGCAGACATCTTAGCCTACCCACCTGTGGTTGCTGGTGGTAATCGTTCAAACACTTTGCACTATGTGAATAATAATCAACTCATCAAGGTACACATGATGCCCTTCCTCTTCCATTCTGCTTCCACTGGGTCCAGATGCTTGGGTGGGAAGCTCACTAACCTCGTGCTCCCCTAGCCTTCAGCTTCCACAAATTAACTGCCATTTACAAAGACTTAATTGTTTATAAAATGCTTGTACAGACATTATCTCATTTGATCCTACATTAGCACTGTGAGATAGGCGCAGTTATTAGCATGCCTGTTAGTAGAGGAAAATAAGCCTAAAAAGTTAAGCTGCTTAGTCATGAGTGCAAAGCCAAGATTCAGAGCCACATATTCTACTCTACAGCTCCTGTTCATTTCATTTTATAACACTACTTCTCTAAGGACTTGCAGGGACAGTGTATGATTCAATTTATATAAAGTTCTAAAATAGGTAAAACTATGGTGAGAAAAATCAGATCAGCAGTCGTTTGTGGTTGGGGGTTGACTGGGAGGGGGCATGAGGGTGTGTTTATGTGGGTGTATGCATTTGACATAACTGATATAACTCTGTATACTTAAGATCTGTGCATTTTACTGTATGTAAATTATACCTCCAATACATTAATTGGTTAAAAAAAATCTCACCAGAGGTTTGCTGATATTTATTAGTCTTTGAAAGCCAGCTTTTGGCATCATTAATCCTTGCTATTTTATCTTTGTTTGCTATCTCATAGCTTTGTGCCCTGACCTCTATTATTTTTATCCTTCTACTCTTTGTGTTTATTTTGTTGTTCTTTTTCTAACATCTTAAATTAGATGCTTAATTCATCAATTTTCATTTTTTCTTCTTTTCTATTCTAAGTATTTAAAGATAGATTTCTCACTTTCATTATATTCCATAAGTTTTTTTGTTAGGTTGTAAAATGTATCATACATTAAGTGCAATTAATATAATGTACAGTTTAAAAATAATAATAAAATAAACACCCATGTATCCACCATCAAGGATAAGAAGAACATTATAATTATCATGGAGTTCCCCTGGGCAATTCCAATCACATATCCCTCCCTATCTTCCAGAGGAAACTACTGTCTTAACTTTTGTTGTAATCATTCTGTTGCTTTTTTTTACAGTTTTACCACTAATGTATTTATTCCTAAATAATACATTCTTCAGTCTGGAGAAACTGAGAAATAAGCACAAACTCAGTGTCTTAGTCATCTAGGGCCGCTGTAACAGAAATACCACAAGTGGATGGCTTTAACAAACAGAAGTTTATTCTCTCACAGTCCAGTCAGCTGCAAGTACAAATTCAGGGCATCAGCTCCAGGAGAGGCTTTCTCTCTCTCTCTCTCGGCTCTGGAGGAAGGTCCTTGTGATGCATCAGTCTTCCTTGTTCTGGGATCATCTCAGCGCAGGAACCTCAGGTCCAAAGGACACTCCTTGCTCCCAGCGCTGCTTTCTTGATGGTGTGAGGTTCCCATGTCTCTGCTCGCTTCTCTCTTTTATATCTCAAAAGAGATTGGCTTAAGACACTATCTAATCTTGTAGACCTCATCAGTATTACTGCCACTAATCCATTTTATTAGATCATAGTGATAGAGTTTACAACACATAAGGAAATCACATCAGATTACAAAATGGTACACAGTCATACAGTGCTGGGAATCATGACCCAGCCAAGTTGACAGATATTTTGTGGGGACACAATTCAATCCATGACACTCAGCTTTATAAGGGATAGAGCAGTATTGCCCCTATGAGGTGAAGTGACCCAAGAGAACTTCTAGCTCATAGTCCAGCTTCAGTTATCTGAGAGCTTATAAGAACCCCTTCTGGGGAAGTCAGTGGGCAAGGTCATCAACAAGCCCTGAGAAATACAGGTCACTGTTGGGGCATCTGGAAACCCTGGTGGCGTAGTGGTTAAGAGCCATGGCTGCTAACCAAATGGTCGGCAGTTTGAATCCACCAGGCGCTCCTTGGAAACCCTCTGGGGCAGTTCTGCTCTGTCCTAGGGGGTGACTATGAGTTGGAATCAACTCGACGGCACCTAGTATTGGGGCATCTGGAAGAGCTCTAGTGTCAACCAGGTACTAGGTATTTGGCAGAAATATAGTCAGAGAGGACAGGCTGCCCTGTTTTCTGCCTCTAAGCTTACCATAGCTACATCCTGCTCTCGGGAATAGGTCAGAGTAGAACACCTCTGTTTGTTTAGATTTGCCTGCATGTCCACTAATCCTTCTTGCATCTTATACGGCCTTTCTAGGATCACCTTCTGCATTAAGAGCATCCTTTAGATGAAGGTCTGTTGCTGATAAACTCCCTTCTGTTTTTGTGTAGCTGAAAATACCTTTATTTTATTCTCATTCTTGAAAGATGGTCATGTCAAAAAGGATTAGGCCTATTTTGACAGTTTCACTCATCAATTTGAATATATTATTCCCCTCTTTTCTGACCTTCAGTGTTGCTGATTTAAAACAACAACAAAAAAAAAACCACTAATAATTGTTCCTTGCAGGAAATCTTTTTTCTTTGGCTGCTTTTAAGATCTCTTTCTCTTTCTTTCTCTCTCTCTCTTTTTTTTTTAATTCCTCGGTTTCGTTATGATATGTCTAAGCACAGTTATTTTTACTTATCTTGGTTATGATACCTTCTGCTTCCTGAATCTGTGAGTTCATGTCTTTCATCAGTTCTGTCATCTCTCCTACATGCTCTTCTATTCACTCCTTCAAAGATTTCAATTAAAGATGTGTTAGACCTTCTCATTTTGTCCTTCTCTCTCATATTTAACTTTACCTTGACTGTCTCTGTCATGTTCTAGATGATTTGGGTAGATCTGTCTTCCAGGAAACTTTTTTTCTTCAGTTGTGTCTAATCTTCTACATAACCATCTACTGAGTGTTTTGTTTCAGCAGTTATCTTTTTCATTGCTTCATTTCCATTTGGCTCCTTTCAGTTTTGCATAGTTATTCTAGATTGTCTCTTCTTGCATGCTCATTGTTGTGATTTCATTCTTTATCCCTTTACCATTTCATACATAGCTATTCTATAGCTGATATTTCCATTATCTGAAGTCCTTGGAAGATTTAAATTTGATACTTGTTTTCCTGCTGGCTCTCACTCGTGTGAGATTTACCTCCTTGTGTGCTTGGCAACCCTTGGTTGTAAGCTCATATTTGCTTGATGCTATTTATCTGGAAGTTATGCAGGACTAAACTGGGGGAAATATCCTCCAAAGATTATCTGCATACGTTTTTGTGAGGAGCCACCAGAGTCCTAATGACCGGGGACCATTTTATCACCTATGAGGGTCTCATGTTCAGTTTCCTCACTTTGCTACAGGTTCTCAGGACAGCACCTCCTCTCCTGTGTACTTTAACGCTTACCTTATCACTACTCCAGCTCTAGTTTAAGTTCTGAGTTTGTTTTCAAGAGAGAAATGGTCCTAAAGACGTCTATTACAGTACATGATGTCAACATTTCATAAAATAAATTTTTATCCAGGATGTAGTTGTTTTCTATCAGGAAGTTTAGTCCATTATACTGCCAGAAACAAAAACTCCACATCCACTCTTTGCACTTGCCATGACTCTGTATATATGATGCTTCCCTTCCCGCCCCCCATTTATCCTGAGAGTATTAGTCAAAGAAGATTAAAGTACTGAAGTACTCATTTAATTATTATTCTACTGTGAGACAAATTTTGTAGTTATTTAGACATGAGTAAGACCATGTCCCTGTCTACAAGAGCATAAACAGATCCTTTAAATATAACATGATAAGTAGTAAGATAGAGATATACCCAAAGTTTTCTTTTTTCCCTACATATATTATGATGGGGGAGCAGAGGGGAAGTGATATTCTAAAGTTAAATGGTATGTGTAATTGTTTTTGAATAAGGCCCTGGATACCAGCTTATTATTAATCATCATTAATGGTAATGGTAACATTTATGATGTGCTAATGTAATTCATTTACCTAGTAATTCAGTCTGGTTCTAGAGCTCATGCTCTTATCCTCTGTGTTATACTACCTTTCTTTTTTTTTTTTCATACAAAAACTTATACATACATTGTTATGTGACTCTGATTGCTCTCCCCATACGGTGACAGCACACTCCTCCTTTCCACCCCTGATTCCCCATGTCCATTCTACCAGCTGCTAACCCTCTCTGCCTTCCCATCTCACCTCCAGACAGAAACTGCCCATTTAGTCTCTTGTATCTACTTGAGCTAAGAGGCACAC